CAGCTAGGAGAGAGAACGGCAAACAAAGCAAGCTACCAAGGCAGCATTAGATACTTCCTTCCCAGAAGGAGTCTTCATAGCAGCAGCCTACCCAATTGTCCAACAGCTATTCTTTTTGGCCTTCAGGTCACAGCTCAAATAAGAGGGCATAAGATTGAACAATGGGCAGGTTTGGATCCACTCTGGCTTAGAGGCTTCACATTCCAAAGAGAAACTAACGTCCCTTATAACAGCTCCAGAAGTACACAGCCAGCCCAGAATGACAAGGAATAAGCCCTGTTACAGAAGTCATCACACTCAGGGAGGCCCAAAGCTACAGCTTTGGGAATTTCTCTTTCCTATCTAGGTTGGTAACATTATTTCTTCAATTTGTTTTTCTTTTTGTGGAATATGGGTATGGGTATTTACAGTACCCCCAGGCCAAAAGTAATCTGCCAATCAGGGGTGATTTTTATCTTAAGGAAAGGGTTTTATTAACCTTTCCCCCACATTCTATAAAAAGAAAAAGAAATAAAAGAAACAGTGTTACCAATCTAGACAGGAAAGAGAAAGAAATTTTAGGACCACAGCTATAGAGAGGTGCTTCAGAAGCTTCTCTAGCAGGAAAAGGAAGCAATTAGGAACTTCAAGAAAACAAAAAGCTGGCTAATATGAAGCTATTAAACACGTAGAGTAATTCTGAGGACTTACAAGAAAATCTAATCTATGTTATTCATCTTAACATAGTAGAATTCTTCCAAGAAGGGCACAAATTTAGTGACATAGAACAATTATGTTCTTCACACTAGATATGTCTTGAACAATGTTTAGTCATAATATTATGAGTTCTTAGTGGTTTCCCTTTCTGGGGACAAACTGTAGTTAATATATGGAAGATTTAACTATAATTTATAGAACAAAAATTAAGTATCATATTTATATAGTATAGTTTTACTACATTTACAATGTCAATATAGTAAAACAGCTAACAGAAGATAAGAAGGTGAAAGGGGAAAAATAGAGGGAAATGTAGGGGCTGTAATTTCTTGCCTTCTTTCTTTTTTTTTTTGAGACACAGACTCACTTTGTTGCCCTGGCTAGAGTGCCACAGCATCATAGGTCACAGCAACCTCAAACTCCTGGGCTCAAGCAATCCTCTTGCCTCAGCCTCCCATGTAGCTGGGACTATAGGTCTGCCATGCCTGGCTAGTTTTTCTATTTTTGTAGAGATGGAGTCTTGCTCTTGCTCAGGCTGGTCTCGAACTCCTGAGCTCAAGCAACCCACCCACCTCAGCCTCCCAGAGTGCCAGGACTATAGGCTGGTGGTAATTTTTTCATTAACACAGAATCAAGAAATGCTGTCTGTAACTGATGTCCATAAAAAAAAATATATAGGTTTAAAGAGTAAAGAAGGAAAAAGAAAACAAATAGAGGTTTAAGTATATTGTTAAGTTTTAAAAGATAAAATAGTATGTACACAGTACTAAATATAAACATAACAAAAATGAGGAGTGGCTAAGCAAGCTAAATTTTTCTTTCTTTTTACAGCATGTTGTTAGCAAAGTTGATAAATTAATAAATAGGTATAAAAATCATTTATAGTTCAGAAGTTATAAAAAATTAAAAATTGGCAGGGTGCAGTCCCTCACATCTGTAATCCTAGAACTCTGGGAGGCCAGGGTGGGTGTATCCCTTGAGCTCAGGAGTTGGAGATCAGACTTCAAAAAAGAGCAAGGCTCCATCTCTAATGAAAATAGAAAAACTAGCCAGCAACTCAGAAGGCTAAGGCAAGAGGACGGCTTAAACCCAGGAGTTTGAGGTTGCTGTGAGCTATGATGGCATAGCACTCTACCCAGGGAGACAGAGTAAAACTCTGCCTCACAAAAACAAAAACAAAACAAACAAACAACAAAAAAAACCAAAACAAAACAAAAAATCTAAAAAAGTCAAAATTAGTTATCTCTGAGGAATGGTACAGAAGGTAGAAAGGCACAATTTTACTGTTCACATATATTCTTCTATACTGTTTAAATTTCCACGTGCATGTTTTATATTTATAATTAAAAAACCGATATTAAAAAATAATTTTAGAGTTCAGCAATTTAGAGGACAGCAGAGAAAAGGAACTGATGCTTAGAAAGTGAGGTCTTCTGAAATAAGGCTAAAGGGTACAAAATTAGATTAGGTGAAGAAGGAAGGAAGTGATTTTTAGAAATTAGTGACAAGAAAAACAGGGTTATTTACAATAGAAAATGACCCTTTATCCTAGAAGCGAACCACAAGAAGCTCCAAAACTCTAACTCTAGCAGAAAGGACTCAGGAGATCTATAAAGGAAAATATCCCACCCCAGCAGCAGGACTAATGGACACACTGGAGAATTTCATACCCTAGGGATTTTCCAGGGGACAGCAAAATTCTGTGCCTTGAATTCTCAACTATCAAGAGGCAGAGTTATGACCTTCACAGACTCCATATAATTTATTACATGACTCACACACTTTATTTCAATAACGAGCAGGCTACAATTCGTGAAGCTAATAGAATCCTCTCTTGAGGTCTGCTCTGAAGTATATTAGTTAAAAAGGAAAACCTTTCATCTTTTATCATTTGCAAATCTTCTATATTTCTTAAGGCCTAACTTGAGAATGGGAGATACCATACATTCAGATTATGCCTGTAGACACAAAACCGTAACCTTTGGTTCCATTGATTCTTACAGGGTTAAAAGGTACTTGCCTTCTTGTTGGTATGGTATTCTTGTTCTTTTAATGCATTATCTATTTATTTATAAAACATTGCTATAGCATCTAAGTGCTAAAATACAAAGTTACCACCAACTAATGGAAACAAATAATTAAAAAGAGAAAAAAAAATGTTGATGACTTAATCCAAAGCTATTTGGAGAGGATCTAATGAGTGAATGAGTTTTTGAGATAAGAAAAAGAAAAACCACTTAACTAAATACAAAATTATTATAGTATGTACCTGGTCAATGGTCAGTCAACCAGATCTTGTTAAAAACCCACACTGTATAGCATCTTCAACAGAGGGACATAAAAGAGACACCGAATTCAGTTTGTAACATGAAATGACAGAGGGATAGGTGGTAGTAACCAGTATGACATGCAAAAAATGACAAGCTTTGAGGAAGCAGAAGGTCTGGCGTGGGTGCTGTGGACCCAATGAACAACTCTGGAAAGACAAAGGGTGGTTGCTTCCGTAGGCTTTGGAGGCTTTCCCTTGTATAAAAAGGGTTCCAAGAGATTGGAAGTAAGTTAACCACTTCATTTCTCTCTTTTCATCATCTATCTAGGGTTAGGCCTCTATAGTATTCATGCTTTGAGTCCTAGGAGGCAACATGGTAGAGTGACAAGAGCCCTGGGCTTAAATCTCGGCTCTGCTCCTTTAAAAAGAGGCAGAGATGGCCACAAGATTTATGTTCCACTGGGAAGGGGCTTTGAGAGGACAGGATGTACATACATTACAGAACCAGGTTTTCAGAACCAGGTATACCTTCGCTCTATTCTTTCCCCATGAGTCAGCTAGATGCAGATTATGCTGATGAGGGCCTAGATGATGGCAGAACCACAAGATGAAAATTACCTGAGCTCCTCAGTCACCTGTGGGGAGAAGCCACTAGACAGGCCCACAAGAGAGAAAGATACAACTAAGTTCACCAAGAGGGGAAGAGGAGGGTGTTCAGTAAGTTCCTGGGAGAAGGACACAATTACAACTTGGACTTACCTTACAAATGCAAACAGTGCAACCTAATGTATGTACTCTCATACTAACCCAGAAAAAAAAAAAGAGGGGGGCACAGAATAGACCCCCAGAATATCTACTAACAAGTGTATCACTTCAACAAAATTCTCTAAGGAAGAACAAAATCCTAAAGGGATAGTGTAGAATGTGGCAGGAGGGTGTGAGAGAGGATTGTATCATGCAAGTATCTTTCTTTTCTCTGTTTAGGTATGTATGTCATTTTCTTTCTTTTTTTATTGAATGGTAACTATGTACATTAATGCACTTCTGGGGTACAGTGTGGGGTTTTCACACACAATCCGAAATACTTCCATCAAACTGGTTAACACAGCCTTCATGTAATTTTCTCAGTTATTGTTTTAAAACATTCACATTCTACTCTTAGAAAGATTCACTTGTAAGATAAACCTCAGAAGTGATCCCTCATGTATGTCATTTTCAAAAGTCACACCACAAGATAGAGAAAACTTGTTTGGTCACATCATGTAAATTCTCAAAGACGTATGTAATAGTCAAAACTGAAGTAAAGGATCACCGGAATATGTTTTCTTTTCATTTTTTTTTTTTTTGAGACAGAGCCTCAAGCTGTCCCCCTGGGTAGAGTGCCGTCACATCACAGCTCACAGCAACCTCCAACTCCTGGACTCAAGTGAGTCTCCTGCCTCAGCCTCCCAAGTAACTGGGACCACAGGCACCCACCACAACGCCCAGCTAATTTTTTGGTTGCAGCTGGCATTGTTGTTTGGTGGCCTGGGCTGGATTTGAACCCGCCACCTTAGGTGTAAGTGGCTGGCACCTTAGCCACTTGAGCCACAGGTGCCAAGCCCAGAATATGTTTTCTACTTCAATAAGAGTATAATTCGGGCTGGGCATGGTGGCTCATACCTTTTAATGACAGTACTATGGGACTATGGGAAACCCTGGTGGGAAGATAGCCTGAGGCCAGGAGTTCCAGACAAGCTGGGGGGAACACAGCAAGACCCCATCTCTACAGAATATTAAAAAACAAACAAACAAACAAACAGCCATGCATAGTGGTGCATGCCTGCTATAGTCCCAACTACTTAGGGAGCCAAAGCTGGAAGATCACTTGAACCCTCGAGTTTGAGACTGCAGTGATCTGTGATTACACCATTACACTCCAGCCTGGGCAACCAAGTAAGACCTTGTCAAAAAAAATGTAATCTGATGATTCCATGGATCTTCACTAGAACCTCTGATTCCAATTGGAATAAATTCCCGAAAGAATCCGACTTACTTGCAGGAGACTTTAGTTCTATCGGCTACCATGGTCCACTGTTGCTGGTTGGTAGAAATCTCAACGTAGTAGCTATAGCTTCGATCATCACAGTCCCAAAGTAGCAACCTGAACAAAGGGAAAGATGTAAGATTGCCGTCAATGTCTAACTGGCTGTTTCCTTAGGCTATCGGCACCTCAGAGGCACCAGGAAATCTGCTTACTCTATCCCTCCCACCTGTGTCCTTTGTTCTAGACACTTCTAGGACTGGAAAAAGAAAATGAATCCCAACAAAAGTGAGAAGAGCACAGGTGGAGTTGATGTGCAGTGAGAGGCTTGTTTCCTCAGCAGTTTTCAAGCCCCTCAGTCCTCAAATGCCTGTCCCTCTGGTGGCAAAATTCTTTAGATTGGTTTAGGAGGGAGAAGATGTCCTCAAGTCACCCTTCCTGCTTCTTTCAGATCTCTTCTCCAGATTGGCTGGCCTAACCACTGCTCATGGGGGAATCGGAGCTTTCTAATTGGTGATAACCCCACGGCCTTTATTATCACATTTTAGGTTTCATCTCATTCTGACCAGAATTTCTGCACAGCTTTGGTAAGATTATCTGACTTGGAGATACAAACATATATTCATTAGTAAAACTTTCTTATTCAGTTTTTAGAAACTGATTTTCTTGGTTCTTTCTTCTTATCCCCCTTTTCTGCCCAGATAAGAACCTAAGTATTAACCATATAATTCCGTAGACACAAAGGAGAACTTCAAAGTAGACAAAATTTATCTGTTGGCAAAAGGAATCAGAATAGTGGTTATCTCTGGGGTGGATATAAAGGAAGCTTCTAGAATGCTGGAAATGTGCCACATTTGATCTGAATGGCAGTTACATGGGTATATATGCACGCAAATATTCATTGGGCCATACATAAAAGATTTGTACACTGTACGTTATTCCTCAATTTAAAAAATTAAAAAATCTGAGCATTGCAACACAAGATCAGCATTCTGCTTCTGACAGTGCCACAGGGCAAAAAGATCAATATTGTCTATGATTTCGGACTTAAAAGTCCTTCTCATACAAAATACGTATCTTACTGTTTTACAGTTGGTCATGTGTGTTTGCGTCCTGCACCTGCTAAAATAGTGAGCTCTTGGAAGGCAGCAGCCATGTCTCACACAAAATTTATACTCAAGTCAGTGTTTGCTAGACAAATACATTCCTTGTAACAATAGCAGTCATGATAGCCAACATTTCTTTAGTGCTGTATGTATAAGGCCCTGAGTTAAATGCTCAATACAATTTATCATATTAAATCCTTCTAAATATCCTCCAGCAAGCACTATTATGCTTATCAAATTATAGGCAGTGAAAGTGGGACTTAAAGCTATTAAGTAACTTGTTTAAACTCATACAGTGAGTGGCAGATACAGAGTTGCAACCTGGTATCCTAACCCAGACCATTTCTGAAATCCCTGCTGCCAAATGCTTCCCTTATTCCCAGCTTATGTATCTGGGTCATAATTTACAATCTACACCTATTACTCTATAAAATCAGCTGTATTATTTTCCTTTAATCTTTCAGATTGAAGTCCTTCCCACAAATTCAGTTTGCATCACTGATAAAGCTGTTATTGAGGATTAAGATTTCCTGTGTTTCCCTTTTCCTTTACCCTTTGTTCCTTGTTTTCAACTGCAATTCTGTTTGTTATCAGTGACTATACCCACACTACCTAATATTTTGGAACTCATTTTTTAAGTAGAGAAAACTGTTAAAAGGTTTGGGAAAGCATAAACAGATTACACTTACTGATTCCCTTTAGTTCACCTGAGTATTTAATTTCAGTACTCTAAGTGAATCAGAACAGATTCCATGCTACTGTTCTTAAGTGTCCAAAAATTCTTTTGTTACATTAAAGCAATTTGCCTGATAAGAAAGCAAATTATTTCCCTTGTCAGTCATTTCCACAAATATTATTCTAGTCTCTTAGCCTAAGTAGTTAGCCTATGTAGTTAGCCTATGCTAATTTATATTTACTTTGGATAACTCTTAAAAGTTTACTTTTTGTTTCTTCTGGTTCTCATTTTGATTATAAACCTTTTAGAAAGACCACTGATCTTTCTCTTTTTTAAAAATTCTACTTCAGGCTCAGCGCCTGTAGCCCAGTGGTTACAACGCTGGCCACATGCACTGAGGCTGGTGGGTTTGAACCCGGCCTAGGCCTGCTAAACAATAATGACAACTACAACAAAAAAATAGCTGGGCATTGTGGAGGGCACCTGTGGTCCCAGCTACTTGGGAGGCTGAGGCAAAAGAATCGCTTAAGCTCCAGAGTTGGAGGTTGCTGTGAGGCTATGATACCATGGCACTCTACCCAGGGCAATAAAGTAAGACTCTGTCTCAAAAACAAAAACAACAACAAAAAAACCTACTTCAAACATGTTGGCTATGTTCATGGTGTATGTTCCATACCTGTTCTGGGCTGAAATCATTTATAACTCTGGGAATGCAGATTAAAACTAGGGGAGAAACTTCAAAATTAATTCATCAGTCTCTTCATTTAATAGCTCTAATAAAAGGTTTGCTGGGAGATAATGTTGAGGCTACTTTCTTCAATAGGATTTTTTTTTTTTTTTTTTTTTGTAGAGAGAGTCTTACTTTATCACCTTCAGTAAAGTGCCATGGCGTCACAGCTCACAGCAACCTCCAACTCCTGAGCTTAGGCGATTCTCTTGCCTCAGCCTCCTGAGTAGCTGGGACCACAGGCGTCCACCACAACGCCTGGCTATGTTTTTTGTTGCAGTTTGGCCAGGGCCGGGTTTGAACCTGCCACCCTCAGTATATGGGGCTGGCACCCCACCCACTGAGCCACAGGCGCTGCCCTCTCTAATAGGATTTTGAATTATTTATGGAGAGCCAGGTTTATCATAACTGCTGCCCTTGTAGATAATCATGAGTTAGTGTTTCTACAGAATATCCAAATGAAAACAATCTGTCCCTTCTGGGCTAGAACCTAACCAGATCTCAAATATTTCATGGAAAAAGACTGCCTTGAGGATATGGCAGATGGAGAAGATAAAAAGGAAGAGCAATCGAGTATTATAGATGCTCTAGGTAGAAATTCATGGAGTGACAGCATATTAGAACAATTTTTAAGTTGTATATAGCATGCCTTCTATGTAGCTTATTCTATGAAGTCCTCTAATTTGTTTCAAGGCAAATTATTATTTTAAAATGAAGACCACCTACAAGTCCAAGAACTTTAAAAACACATGGCACATACTGTTTGTAACTTATTTCTTTTGCTTCATTGTCTATTATGAATATCTCTTTGCATCATCAAATATCCTCCTATATAATATTGACTTCATAGTATTTCACTGTATGGATGTCCTGCAATTTATTTAATCAGTCTCTTACGATTGGACACTTAAGTAGTTGATAATATTTCACTGTTATAAAAAATTCTATGATGAACATTCTTAGCTAAATCTATGATTACTGCCTCTAGTGAAACTCCTAGAGCAAGGTATATAAACATTATGAAGCTTTCATATGTATCACAAAATGACTGCATGCTTCTCTTCACTCTAACCCCAAACAAAAATCTACACTAACATTACCAGCAGTGTAAAACAAAAACCTGTTTCTGTGCACCATCACCAATATAGTATGTTATGTTTAAAAGTGCTACCAATTACCAATTTGATATATGAAAGACATCTCATTATATATTTTTTACTTATTGAACTTGAACATTTTACCTATTTTCTACTTACATTTATCCTTTTGTTAATGACTTTCAAAATGTCCTCCATATTTAAAGGGTATTAATCTACTGCCTATCATAGTTTGCATGCTGAGGATATTAATTTTTATTAGCTTAGTCTATCGATCTTTACCTCAATAATTTCTCTTGGCCTAAATTTTTTTTTCTGAATAGCAGCCAAGTGCATACACTGGCTGAGACATCTCCTCTCTATTCCTCTATTAAGAGTCCCCTGTGGGCTGGAAATGAGGGGTCATGGTGACTGCTGAGTGGCAAAGGGACGCTGATGGATCTCAGGTCATCAAGCCTAAGGCTCAGACTCACCTACACTGCGGAGTTTTTGAGAGACCTTCTAATTTATGTGCCAGGATGCATATTGGCTTGGAATTTAGGCTTAGCCAGGAATGAAAATCCCTTTCTTGATCTGACTGAAAAGAAAAACAACTGCAGCTGGGGAACAGTAAGGGAAAAATTGGCTCAATCTCTTTTTTCCCATGTAGAGGAATTTTGTTCTAATAAGGCAGAAGTGAAAACTCCACCACCTCCCTGCACTTCTTTCCCTGCCTGCAAAGTGTGTTCTTTGCTCCTACAACAACACAGAGATATTTCTGACTTGTAATCTGGCTAGGAATGTTTGCACAGTGAGCTTGCCCAGGACAGACACTCCCTCTGACCTTAACTGAGATGAGCTCCTTAAACACAGCCAGCACACACACATCCATCCACGCGCTTCCACCCAGACCCCAGAAGCCATTTTCAAAAGGGGCCAAATAAAGGAAGCTGCTGGCCGAGATCTATTGATGCAGATCGGGCTGTGTTTAGCTGTTGCCACAAACCTCTCTAACTAATGAGCACTGCATGAAATAGCCTGGTGCAATTAAATGTTGTCTCCTCCATCTTCCCTCATTCTCATTGCGGAGTTTCCCTAAAAGCAGTGAAGTGCTGGTTTTTTAAAAAATTGATTAGCAGATGTGATTTTGCTTACATCTTCCATAAATGCTCTGGCTGGCTACATACCATTGATTACCAGGGTTCAGTTTACAGCAACTAATTGCTCTCCTTGCTGGTATTTTGATATAAAATTCAATAGCGAATATGTTTTCAAAACTCTTGTCTTTGTGGCTTGAGTCAGAAGTGACTCGAGGCAAACCCAGTGGACTGAGCTTTCCCTTCTTTAAAATAATTGCTCTCTCATCAGCCTGTGAAGAAAGTTTCTAAATTGCAGCATTCTAATTGGAAAGCCTGCATTATGCATGCGATGACAAACTATGTTGTGCTGAATGGCATTTTTTTCATCCTTTTCTTAAGGGATTAATTCTGTGCCAGATTGTGAACAATGGCTGAGGTATAACAGTTGAGATTAAC